TATCTATCTATCTATCTATCTATCTATCTATCTCCCCTTGCACGATGTGGCACAATGGTGGTGCGGCCGAGGTCACGGCCTTGGAGGCAACTTAACGGTCAAGGTCGCGGCCCCACGTGGCCTCAGTGGTCATGGCCGTGGCCTGCCGCGTGGCGCTCTCTCCCTTTCTGTCTCTCTGTCTCTCTGTCGCGCTGTCGCTCACTCTCTGTGTCTGTCTCTGTCTCTGTCTCTCTTCTTTCCCCCCCCCCCCCCTCTCTCTCTCTCTCTCTCTCACCCAATGCTGTGACATAAACACAGCACCAGCAGCATAAAGTGTTGCTGTTTCAGGGGAATGGCAAGATTTATCTGAAACAGCAACACAGAGTGCTGCATGTGTGCATGTGTGCGTGCGTGTGTGTGTCTGTTTGTGAGGTCAGTCAAGGTCGCGGCCCCACGTGGCCTCAGTGGTCACGGCCGTGGCCTGCCACGTGGCGATCTCTCTCTTTCTCTGTCTCTCTCTCTGTCTCTCTCTCTGTCTCTGTCTGTGTCTGTCTGTCTCTCTCTCTCGCGCGCGCACGCCCAATGCTGTGACCTAAACACAGCACCAACAACACAAAGTGTTGCTGTTTCAGAAGAATGGCAAGATATATCTGAAACAGCAACACAGAGTTCTGCTGTATTATGAACCTGGTTGTTTGTTGTCAGAAGACCAACACTCGCTCACATGGACTTCCAGGTATGCCCATACATACACAGAAGGAAGGGGAGAGGATGGGAGTATCACACCGCACAGGGAGAGATAAACACAACGAAAGACTTGACCATGCGGTATGACAGAAAACACTGAAAGTGCAACTCGCTCCACAGAATCCTCACAACCAATCACAATGGAAAGCCGAGTAGATCACATCCAGAAAAAAATGAAGCAATGATAGTTCACACACAGTATTCACACTGTTTATTATACTCGAAGTCTCGAAATGTCAGAATGACCCCAGAACCATGGTGCGCTGCTCAGAAATGAGCAGCGCTTCACTCCCCAACCCTGAGTAACCGGTATACTACCCCTGAGTCCCTGAAACAACCAGCACCACCCAGATACTGCCTCCAGAGGGAAGCGCCACCCTGAAACAGGCCTCTGAGGCCAAGCGCCTCTCAAAGGATGAAGAAAAAGACCAGCGCCACAATATCTGATGATGATGAAGTGCCAGAAGAGTTCCTGAGTGGAAGTCTGTCGCAGCACCACCTCTCCTGATAAGGATGAGCTCTGAGGAAGAAAGCTGCAGCTATGGCTGCAGCGCCAAACACCCTGACACCGTACTCCTGAGGAGGGTTCAGCAGGGCACCAACTTCTCTTGCCTCCAGCAGACTTCAGATAGCCCGGACCTCTGATCAGCCCCGTGTGCTGTCAGAGAACAGCACAGGTCCCAGCTATGGCCGACGCTTCACAGGTCCGGCTATGTCCGTCTTCCCCAACGCTGAACCTGTCACCACTCCAGTTCATGCGTTGCACAGCCGCAACGTACACGGTACCAACTGCCAAAAGCCCTAAACCGATTCCTAAAAACTATTCATAGAACTACACTACCTTAGCCTAGACCTAGACCGGACTGACTGGACCGACCGGTACCGTTTCAGTTTCGGC